TATCCTCCCTCCAGCTGCCTTCTTCCTGAGTTCCCACCCGATTCAGCAGATCTTCTCTCCATCTCCGTATCATGGGCTCTGTACAAGGGACCCACATGAATCTGGAGTGCCCTTGTCCTGTGGGACTCTCAGTTTCCCCAGTACCCTGGCTCCTCGATGGCCCCTTGCCCACTGCCTCCTGAGCTTTTCTTGGGTATAGCCAGGGTTCTCCCACCTCACTGATGGATGTTAATTCCTGATTTCTAGGAAGGTACAGTGTCTAGCTCTGTTCTGGAAGAACAAGTAGCCAGACCAGAGCTCAAAGGACAGCAAGGCGCATTGTCTTTTTGTCTTTTCTCAACCTCCTGAGTTAAACTCATTCATCTTTATCCTCTATTCAGGATCCTCTCCAAATTCCCCACCTCTTGGGGCAGAGACGTAACCAGATCTGACCTAGCTCCCCATTGCCCTCCCCAAACTGTCCTCTCAGAGCTTCAAAAGAACACCCGATCCCCATACTCAAGGGCTGATCTATCTTACTCTCTGTTTCTTTCTTTCAGCTCTGTTTCTTTGGAACTCTACAATTTTTTTCAATCACAAAGATATTACATGCTGGTAAAAAAAAAAAATCAGTTTCCATTCATTCTGTTTCTTATTTCCATGCTTAAGAGGGAGTCCCTTCCCATGGTGCAGGGACTGTTGGTCAAGGGTTTATCAGAATGAATTTCTATTTATTTATTTTTCTGAATCTCACTTTTTTTTCACAGTGGCATTACAGCTACTTGGTTTTATTGAAAAGGCCATGTTGTGTTTTAGTGGCAGGAAGTACTTACTGCCCACCTACTGTGGGCCAGGCCTTGCCTACCTGTGTCTCTACTGGGTATCTTTGAGTCCTGAGCCCTGAGCCAGACAGGTGGGTTTTCCTTCTTCCATTTCCTTCCTTTGTGCTCCTGTCCTGTGTACTTTTCAATTACCCCTGACTGTTGAAGTCAGGATTGCTCTGGAGGGCCAGGCCCATGTCTGTTTAAGCCCCCTTCCACAGATGGGGGCAGTGCTAAGGCTCAGAGACATGAAGATGCCTGCCCAGGGTGACTACACTACCCAGGGCAGAGCCCAGACTGGCCCGGCTGTCCCTCCAGCGCTAAGCTCATATCATGGAGCTTGAGGCTTACTCTCCACTTGACCAAGGGGCCATACACAGACAGTTTGGGAAGGCTCATTTCTGTGATTTCTGATAATCCTGAGAACTTGGCAGGGTACCTGTTCTCACCCCCTAGTCTATGGACGGGGAAACCAATGTGTCATGACGGAAAGGAGTCCAGGCTTCTGAACTTGCTGTTCCCTCCCTGCTGGCTACACGCAAGGGTGGCCAGGACAAGGGGGTGTCTGGTGGCATCAGTGGTTCTAGAGCCAAGCCTTGCTGGCTGACCTCAGGGTGGGCTGCAGTCATTGGGAAGGGAGACACGTACAGGGTGGGCACAGGCCTGGGATCACATACCCCTTGGTACCTTGACTACCTTTTATAAAATGTGGTCACATCCATGACAGAGTCTTTGCTCCCTTTGGGACGGGGAACCAGGCCGTGGGAGAGAAGCTGTTGCATACCTCTGCTAGGAGGCTATACCGGTTAGGGAGGGCTCAGCACAGGGCGGGGATGAACATACCGCCTGCAGGAAACGTCCTGAAAGGGGTATTTTCTGTAACTGGGGAACAAGATCCCCACTTCCTTGAATCTTCCCCATTTCCCAGTGGTGCTCTCCTGACCGTATATATCCAGTGGGTCCCAGGGCTGCTTCACCCGAGTGGCTACCCGGAGGCACTGCCTATCTGGGCTCCACCATGGATCTGGCTGTGAAGGTGGCCTCTGTCACTTACAGGTAGTGTGAAACTGGGCAAATGGCATCTCTTTCAGAGCCTCAATTTCCCCATCTGTAAAATGGTTATGGGGACTATTTCAGCCTTAAAAAGGAAGGGAATTCTGACATCCATTCTAAAATGTGGACCAACTTTGAGGGCATTATATTAAACAAAATAAGCCAGACACAAAAAAACAAATATGTTACGATTCCAATTTTATGAAGTACCTAGGCTAGTCAACTTTATAGAGACAGAAAGAAGTGGGGCGCCTGGGTGGCTTACTCGGTAGAATGTGACTCTTGATCTTGAGATTGTGAATTCACCACGTTGGATGTAGAGCTTACTTTAAAAAAAAGTGTGGGGGGGGGTGTGCTAGAACAATGTGTACATCCTGGACTTGGCCCTGAGTCTCCAGTCTGGGACTGGGAGCTGCGCCCGCACCCCACCCCCACGGGTGTTTAGTGCTCTTGAGTCACCACTGGCTCCTGGGGCGTGTCCCTGCACTGGAGATCCCTACCTGGGGGGTCTGTTTCCTTTCCCCAGGGCCCTCTGGGTTGGGCCAAGCAGAGAGGGCTGGGAGCTTCTGCCTCGGCTTCCTCCCTGTGAGGATGTGCAGCCCTGCCCACATCCACCTGAAACTCACTGTTGCCTTCCCTCCCTGCCACACCCGGGCCCTGCCCTCCTCTGGGGCCCATGCCTGCCCTGTCCCCTTCTCAGGCCCTCTCTTGAGACCCATTGATTTTTATTGAGCACCTCCTGTGTTCCAAAGACTTCTGCCCAGAGGAGCATGACAAGGAGGTGCCAAACTGCCTGCCTGCCCGGCTCTGTGCTACGCACTGTAAAAGCCTGAAATACCATGGATGCTTCTCAGCAACCCTGTGGGGTCTGTGCAGAACCTGAGGCCGAGAGCCAGTGAGGACCTCGCCTACGGCCCCTTAATGAGGTCAGGGCTGGCAGAGGCCGGCTCAGTGCCACTGCTTCTCCCCCCAACCCCCAGTCCTCAGTCCTCAGCAAGAGCTGCTTGAGCGGGGGCTGGCCCAGCCACCTAGCTGTTTCTTCTCGGGGGCTGGGTCATGGGGCGGGTGCCCCTTCCCTGGCATCCCCGGGACTAAGGCCTCAGGTTTGGTACCTGCACCTTCTTTCCAACTTTCTCCCAAAACCTAGTCAACGAGGGGCGGTGACTCGTTCAGAGTTCCACAGTGAGTCAGTGGCAGAGGTGAGGCAGAAACACGGTGTGCAGCTAGAGGGTGTCCCCCACCTTCCAGGCAGTCCACCTCCAAGAGGCTGGTCCTGCACTGGACTCCCAGCTCTGCCCCCAGCCCCAAACCTCTATGATGCCCTTCTCAGCAGGAAGGTGGCACCTGTTTCAAGCTGTAGCCACAGCTGCCCCTTGCCTTGTCGTAGGGCCGATGATTTGGGCACTCCTCTGCCTCGCCCTCTGCGGCCCACATGCTCACACTGTACCAAGAGGCCCCAGAGGCAAGGAATACTTTGGTCACTTTGATTGTCCCTGGAGGGCTGAGCCAAGGCCTGGGTGGTGGCGAGTTCAGGATGCTCTTGAGACCAGGTATTTGGGGTCAGGGGAGGATAAGGACCAGACATACCAGAATGGAATGGACGGGATTGTTTCCTTCTCTCAGCCTCCTGTTCCCTCACCTGTAAACGGAGCTGTGAACAGTTCCCACCTTGGAAGTCAAGAGACAACATGGGCAAAGCCCCGGACAGCAAGGGCCCAGAGGCCACTCCTCACCAGGAGACCGGGTGTCCCCTCTAGGTTGGCACACCCACTCTCCCTCCAAAACTAGGAGGCTGCAGCCACATCCTGCCTGCTCATAAACTGCACCGCCCCCAGCGTCTGGCATCCTGCCGTGGCAGTCTCTTTCGGGACACTCCAGGGGCAGGCTGCTGCACGCCCTCAGGCCCTTCGTCTTCGGCCCTCCTCCCTTCCTGTCCCCAGTCTTTGGGTGCCTGCCTAGATGTGGATTTGGGGAACCAGGGAGGGAGAGACAAGTTTCTTTCAGCTGGAGGCTGGTTGCATGATTCAGCGGGCCCTTCCCTGGAGTGTCCCCTTCCCGGAGTGTGGGTGGTATGAGAAGCCAGCCGGTCATTAGAGGCCCAGGCCTTCCTGTGGGGTGGCCACTCACCCTGGCTTGTGAGTCCTAGCCTCACCAGGAGGGCCGATCTCTGGGCCAGAGCCGGTGGCCCAGGGTGGATAGTGGCGTCTGCTGGCCCCTTGGTGACCTGAGTTCTGGGAACCCCAGGGGACAGGAAAGCTGGACTCTGGGGCGTAGTCTCTTGGAACTCTTGGCATAGTCAGGTGGACAGTGAGCCTGGACAGCAATGAAGACCCAAGTAGGGAGGTGAAGGGACAGGCACTGCCCTGAGTAGTAGGGTGATATTGGACAGCTGACTTTACTTTCCTGAGCTTAGTTCCTTATACACGTAGATGCACCCAGCCAGAGACAATAAATAATAATAAATGTGATGTCATCTAGCATGAGGTGGAAACCGGTCTTGTTTTCTTGTCCTTTCTCTGCCGGCCCCACGCCCTCGTGTGTGTGTGTGTGTGTGTGTGTGTGTGTGTGTGTGTGTGTGTGTGTGTGTCTCCCCTCAGGATCCTGTATGGACATAATTACATGTACCCTTGTAGAATTTTTTAAACGTCCCTGTTTGTTTTACAAAAGTGAGTTCACATCAAGTTTCCTCTTCTATATCTGGAGTTCCCATACTTTGAGGGAACCTCTTCTGGTCACTGGGGCAACGTCACGGCATCTGGTTCCAAGTGAACTGAAGAGTTTTCCACAAGCCCCTCTGGTCAGCCCGATCATAAATAGGATGGAGTCTGGACAGGAATTCCCATATGCTCCTGCTGGAATGCAGGGGGAGGCCACATTAGCAATCTGTTGGCGTGGGTCCTGACTTTAGTGCTTTGTCTTTGTCTGTTAGGTGGGGAGGCCGCCTGCCTTCCCTCATGGTGGTTTCCCCGCTGCCTGGTGGCCACATGGTTTCTGGGGAGAAGCTGATTGGTCGGCCACCCTGTGAGTGGTCACACTGTGACTCCCAGCTAGGCTTGAGGTGGGATTTTGGGCGATGGGCCGATTGTTGCCTGGGTCCCAGACAGCCAGGCCACACTGCAGTAATCCCGTCCTGTGGGTCCTTTGCAGGTTGAACCATGATTCCAGTGACAGAGCTCCGCTACTTTGCAGACACGCAGCCAGCGTACCGGATCCTGAAGCCATGGTGGGACGTGTTCACGGACTATATCTCCATTGTGATGCTGATGATCGCAGTCTTTGGGGGCACGCTGCAGGTCACCCAGGACAAGATGATCTGCCTGCCTTGTAAGTGGGTCACCAAGGATTCCTGCAATGACTCATTCCGAGGCTGGGCAGGCCCAGAGCCCACCTACCCAAACTCCACGGTCCCACCGCCCCCTGGCACAGGCCCCACAGGCATCAAGTACGATCTCGACCGGCACCAATACAACTACGTGGATGCTGTGTGCTACGAGAACCGCCTGCACTGGTTTGCCAAGTACTTCCCCTATCTGGTGCTCCTGCACACGCTCATCTTCCTGGCCTGTAGCAACTTCTGGTTCAAGTTTCCGCGCACCAGCTCGAAGCTAGAGCACTTTGTGTCTATCCTGCTCAAGTGCTTTGACTCACCATGGACTACGCGGGCCCTGTCAGAGACGGTGGTGGAAGAGAGCGACCCCAAGCCGGCCTTCAGCAAGATGAATGGCTCCATGGACAAGAAGTCGTCGACGGTCAGTGAAGACGTGGAGGCCACTGTGCCCATGCTGCAGCGGACCAAGTCACGGATCGAGCAGGGCATTGTGGACCGCTCAGAGACAGGTGTGCTGGACAAGAAAGAGGGGGAGCAGGCCAAGGCACTGTTTGAGAAGGTCAAGAAGTTCCGGACCCACGTGGAGGAGGGGGACATCGTGTACCGCCTCTATATGCGGCAGACCATCATCAAGGTGATTAAGTTCATGCTCATCATCTGCTACACTGTCTACTACGTGCACAACATCAAGTTCGACGTGGACTGTACAGTCGACATCGAGAGCCTGACGGGCTATCGCACCTACCGCTGTGCCCACCCCCTGGCCACGCTCTTCAAGATCCTGGCATCCTTCTACATTAGCTTGGTCATCTTCTATGGGCTCATCTGCATGTACACACTGTGGTGGATGTTGCGACGGTCCCTCAAGAAGTACTCATTTGAGTCGATCCGTGAGGAGAGCAGTTATAGTGACATCCCCGACGTCAAGAATGACTTTGCCTTTATGCTCCACCTGATCGACCAGTACGACCCACTCTACTCAAAGCGCTTTGCTGTCTTCCTCTCGGAAGTGAGTGAGAACAAGCTGCGGCAGCTGAACCTCAATAATGAGTGGACACTGGACAAGCTGCGCCAGCGGCTCACAAAGAACGCACAGGACAAGTTGGAGCTGCACCTGTTCATGCTCAGCGGCATCCCTGACACCGTGTTCGATCTGGTGGAGCTAGAGGTGCTGAAGCTGGAGCTGATCCCAGACGTGACCATTCCGCCCAGCATTGCGCAGCTCACAGGCCTCAAGGAGCTGTGGCTGTACCACACGGCAGCCAAGATTGAGGCACCTGCCCTGGCCTTCCTGCGCGAGAACCTGCGGGCCCTGCACATCAAGTTCACGGACATCAAGGAGATCCCGCTGTGGATCTACAGCCTGAAGACGCTAGAGGAGCTGCACTTGACAGGCAACCTGAGTGCTGACAACAACCGCTACATCGTCATTGACGGGCTGCGTGAGCTCAAGCGCCTCAAGGTGCTGCGGCTCAAGAGCAATCTGAGTAAGCTGCCACAAGTGGTCACCGACGTGGGCGTGCACCTGCAGAAACTGTCCATCAACAATGAGGGCACCAAGCTCATCGTCCTCAATAGCCTCAAGAAGATGGTGAACCTGACGGAGCTGGAGCTGATCCGCTGCGACCTGGAGCGGATCCCGCACTCCATCTTTAGCCTCCATAACCTGCAGGAGATTGACCTCAAGGACAACAACCTCAAGACCATCGAGGAGATCATCAGCTTCCAGCACCTGCACCGCCTCACCTGCCTTAAGCTGTGGTACAACCACATCGCCTACATCCCCATCCAGATTGGCAATCTCACCAACCTTGAGCGCCTCTACCTAAACCGCAACAAGATCGAGAAGATCCCCACCCAGCTCTTCTACTGCCGCAAGCTGCGCTACCTGGACCTCAGCCACAACAATTTGACCTTCCTCCCTGCCGACATCGGCCTCTTGCAGAACCTCCAGAACCTGGCTGTCACGGCCAACCGGGTGAGTGGCCGAGGCCGCAGCTGGCTCTGTCGGTGGACTGGCTGAGGCCCATGGTGAGGAGTGGTGGGGAGGTTTTCTCAGGAGGCATGGTGTCTCAGGGTGGCCAGGATGATTTGATCCTCCTGGATTGGGGGTCTTCACGTGACTCCCAGAGCCACCTGGGAGGAGCTTTTTGAGAATACAGATCCCCTCACTGCTGCACCGCACAGACCTGCTGTCTTGGGTCTCTGGGTCTTTGCCACAGGATATTGCATCCATCTGGGAGGGATGATGTGGTCAGGTGGGGTCTGTCCCTAAGGTGATCTGGGGTGGGTTCCTTGTAGACAGGGATGTGGAGGGGCAAGAGGTCCAAGGGCTGGCTTGTGGGAGATAGGACTTAGCCTACAGTTTGTTCTAGACCACATCTGGAGCCGAAGGGCGGATCTGGGTTTACCAGGGACAGAAACCATGAGTGGCTGGTACTCATGGAGGTGAAGCCAGGTGGTCTCTGTAGCTCTTGGCCCTGCTTACGCCTTTCCCCCTCTGCTTGTCACCACCTGCCTTTCTGGAGAGGAAATTGTGCAAACCGTTTCAGGCCAGCAGTATGCGAGGTGACGACTTGCAAATCGTTGGTAGCCGTATGTGCCAGCCCCTTGCCTGGCCAGGGAAGCCCCCCACCCATAGGCTGCTTCTCAGAGGCAGGTGGGTGGGGATGAGGGAAGGGTGCTCCTGTGGCTTTATGGTCTGGCCCCTGTAGTGCAAACAAAGCCACAACCACTAGAAGGACCTCCTCCCCCTGCCTATGCCTCCTGGGGACCTGCAGGAAGGGTGACCTGTTCTCGCTTCCTACTTTTAAGGTAGAGACTGGCACAGTGAAGCAGATGGTGGTGGGAGCCCAGACACCAGCTCTGTGCCTCCACTGCAGCCAGTGGCACAAAGCAGCCCACGCTGCACAGGGCACAATGCTCCTGATTGGAGCTCTCTTCAGCAGCCTCAGACTCAGAGGCAGGCAGTCCCTGAAATGCCCCTGCCCCAGGAAAGGACACACCTTCTTCAATGTCACTCATGTTGGAGGGTCTGGGAGGGTCTGGGCCCCCCTCCCCTCTTCCCTAAGCCTCTCTTGCTGCAAACCAACCAGACTCCCCTATGTATTAGTTTGTGGAAAATCCTATCTTCTTCCCCCAAATTATGACTGTTAGTGTATAAGGGTGAAGGTCAGATCCCAGATTGCTTCATGTGGGAACATCTGCCCCCAGGGCCTGGGATAGGCCACTGATCAGGAAAATTGGACTCTTTGGGGGAAAAGCCACATTTGGGGAGCACCAGACAGACCCTAACCCCTTCTTTAAGGGTTCTCCTAGAGCATAGGGCAGGGCCAGATTGCCCCTGGAGTTGGGTCCAACTTAAGCATTTCACTACCCTTTGTAACATGCCTCCTCTGTCCTGGCTGCCTGCGGGCTGTGTGTGGGCACCTGAGGCTTGCTGAACCCTCCTTCCTGATAGAGGGCCCAGCAGGCATCCAGCCTGGCTCACAGTTCTATCCCCTGCCCCCAGCTCCTCACCCTAAGGAGACCTGTTAGGTCATGTCTGTCGGCTGAGGTCACCCCTCAGGAAAGGAGCTGGCGACAGGCACGCTGTCTGTCCGTCCAAGGAAGGAGACCCTCTGCACGCCCTGTTTTGCACACTGCTTAATCACATCCTGTCTCCGCCCCTGGAGTGCCAGAGGCCTTTGTAGGGAAAAAGTTCATTTGGGCTGCTTCTTACGGGCTCATCCTTTTAAGCTGGAGTCCTTCTCCTCCTCCTTTGCCAGCCCCCCTGGGCTGCAGGTAGACAGGGAGGGGTAGGTGTGACAGGCTCAGGCCCTTTGCTGCTCTTTTCCTAGATTTAAACTCAGGCGAATGGACATGGAAGATGCGTTCATTTGCCTACAGATCCATTTATTCATTCTCTCATTGATTTGGCAAATGTTTTTTGAACACTCGTAGGGCAGAGCAAGGTGCTAGGGACATAGGGATAAATGGGGCCCACTGGCTGCCCCTCTCATGGCTCCTGGGCGCACACAGGAGTGGTCTCAATGCAAATTTAGGGCAGGCAGACCTCCTGGAGGGAGGGGACATCCTATCTGGCCCTGAGGATGGACAAGGGGGAGTTAGCCAGATAAAAAAGAAAGGGAGAATCTAGAAAGGGAGAGCTTTCTTTCTGTCAGCGGGGGAGGAGCGATGAGCTGAGCAGCCCCTGGAATTTGGACTTTCCCCTGAGGCCAGGTCTATAAGGGGAGTCCAGTTCTTCCCATTCCCACTCCCTCACTTCCATTGGATCTTCTCTGTTCCCCTTTTCTGGTGCCGTGGATCTTAGTTAGCTCTTTCGTTCAGTGCCTGACACACAGCAAATGTTCAGCTAATTCTTTTTGATCGAGTAGATGGATTAGGAGTGATTCTCTTGCTGCATTGTGAGGGGGTAGGTTCGAGGGGCGAGAAGAGAATGGTCAAGAGCTGGCCGAAAACCTGGATATAGCCATGGGAGGGGTGAGGCCGGGACCGAGAGGCTGCCCTGGGGAGAGAGACCTTGGCAGGAGAATCTGCAGGTTGAGGCTGGACCCGATGGGGACAAGTAGGAGAGGTCTTACTTGGCTGCCTAGGAAAATGGGTCATTGAAACAGGATGCAGTAGGAGTCACTGGTTTTCAGAGAGGAGAGCATATATCCCTTGTTGGGCATCTAGGGCCCCTGGGACATCCCAGGGACTGTGTTGAGTGAGCCTGAAGCTAAAGCTGTCCTCCCTGTCCCCACTCGGGGTCCTGGATGGAGAAGGGTCCTTGTTGAGACCCCCAGGGAGTAGATGGATGGAGAAAGGAGTCTGGGTCACACCTCTGGGGTGGGAGTGGGAGCAAGGCAGGGCAGGAGTGTATGGGACAGTTAGGCGAAAGAGCAGATTCAGGTTCAGTGGATTAGGAGGGAATGTTGGTGACTCTGGCCAGATAGTTTCAGGGGTGGACAGGGGCAGAAGCTGGATCACAGTGAAAGAGAGACAGTGCTTTTTCCATATGATTTGTTAGGTGGAATGAAGGGCAGTGGAGCAGTTGCAGAGACTTTTGGGAGGGTTGTCTCTTCTTTTAAAGACTAGGTGGACTTGAGACTACTTCAGTGCTGATGAGGGAGCCATTGAGGTCCCTGGAAGGTAGGAGGGAACAGGATTGAGGTGATGGGAAAGGACCTCAAGCCTTCAGCAGTTGAGTGACACCTTGGGAAGAGGATGAGTCCAAAGGACAGGGGTGGCTGTGGTGGGGCACCAAGCCACTGGGACACCTTCTCTTTTCTCTGTAGGACCTGGAGAGAAAAAAAAAAAAAAGGACCTGGAGAGAGCTCACACTGGGGTAGAGGGTGCTCTGGAAATGGTGTTCTAGGGAGGGAGCTCTGCACATGAACCCCAGCTGTGCCACTCACTGGGCCAGGCCTTTCATGCGGCCCTGACTGCTGCCTGGGTTGATAGAGGAGTCCACTGTGGCAGGGAGTGGGCTCTCCAGGAGGCTCAGGCCACTCAGTACAGCCAGAGCTCACTTCCCGTCATGCCCTCTCAACCTTCGTGTCCCTGACCTTCAGCCCTGCTCACCTGGAAGCCACCTTGGCTCCATCCCTTGACTGCTGGGCATAACAGTGGCTGTTTTGGGAGGCTCAGGTCAGGAGTCTTTTTTAAAACACCAAGGCACCTAAGGTCCAGGTCTGCCCGAAGGCCCTCAGCCTTGAAGGCGAGAGGTGTTTCTAGTCCTACCTTTCATTCTACAGAGGAGGAAACCAAGGCTCAGGGAGGGAAGGGGACTTGCCCAGGGTTACACCGCCAGTGAGCACTGTATTTGGCAGGATGGGAGTGCAGCACATGCTCTGAATCAGAGGAAGCAAGGCTTACTTACATCCTCTCCTGTGCAATCTTGGACATGTTGCATTTCACTTCTGTAGGCCTCCAGAGGACAATGGGAACAGTGACAGAGCCACCTCAGGGGGGTTATTAAATGGGCTCTCCGTCATCCTCACGTGGGGTCACATGGGTCCCTCCTGCCCAGCACTTCTGAAAGGAGATGGTTCTGGCCGACAGGTTCAGTAAGAACCCATGTTTCTAGCTGACTCCTCACAGAAGGGCAGGAAGAAGGTAGCATTCATGGAGCTTTTCCTGTGTGCCCGGGGACACAGCAGGTCCCCACTGAGACCCCACTGTTTGCTCCTTGCTCCACTGACAGTGCAGACAGATAGCAGAGCATGAGCTGCCCAGCCTGGTTCAGTCTTGGCTCACCACTTCCCAGCTGTGAGACTTTGGGCAAGTTAGCTTCCTAAGAGCCTCTGGGGAAAAGTTACCCCATCTGTAAAGCAGAAGAAGTGTTTATAGGGTATTTGCAGGTGGTTCCATAGGGTAAGTAAGTTAATAGCATTAGTGCTCTGAGCAAGCCTGCTGTGTAGGAAGTTGCATATGGGTGTTGCCCATCATTGAACTTTTGCAAAATCAGGAGAGGAATGGTCAATACTGGGCTCCCTGCACTTATGATTAGGGTGTGACTTGACAGATGAGGAGACTGAGGCCCTGGACATGGAAGTGACAGAGCTGGAGTCCCCACCCCCTACTGGCACATCCCTGCAGTGCTCAGCAACTGGGGCATGTGATTTTCTCAGCATGCCACTCTCTTTTATAAATTGTTCTTAAACCAGACAGGCCCCACAGCATGGTTCCTAATGAGCCCTGGAGAGACAGTGGAGGAGGGGGCAGAGTTGATAGTAGCCAGCTAGTGTGATAGGCTTCTTAGGGTGCCAGGTGTTGGGAGACAACAGGGAACCAGGCTACTCCAGCCCTGCCTTCTCAGAGCCTGGTCTGGAGTGACAGGTGATCAAACAGCCTCACCACGGGGGAGATTAGTGCTGCTGGGGTCATGGGTGCCATAGTTTACCCAAGAGGTCAGAGAAGGCTTCCTGGAGGAAGTGACTTTGGAGCTGAGACTTCACATACAGATGGTAGTCAGCCAGGCTTTTAGGCCAGAGGGTGCTGCGGTATGGGCCCAGGGAGCTGCAGTAGGCCTCAGAGAAGATGCTAGTGCCTGGGGCCAGGGGTTGGGGGAGACACTGTGTCCAAGGCCCCAGGGCTGAGCTGCCTCCCCCCCTCACTTTGGTCCTCTGCTCCTGCTCTTCCAGATTGAGGCGCTGCCCCCGGAACTCTTCCAGTGCCGGAAGCTGCGGGCCCTGCACCTGGGCAACAACGTGCTGCAGTCCCTGCCCTCGAGGGTGGGTGAGCTGACCAACCTAACCCAGATTGAGCTGCGGGGCAACCGGCTGGAGTGCCTGCCCGTGGAGCTGGGCGAGTGCCCGCTGCTCAAGCGCAGCGGCCTGGTGGTGGAGGAGGATCTGTTCAATACGTTGCCACCTGAGGTGAAGGAACGGCTGTGGAGGGCCGACAAGGAGCAGGCCTGAGTGCTGGCGGACAGCTGAGCATGGGCCCGCTGCGGAGTCCTCAGGCCCAGGGACCCAGATGCCCAGGGGTGGCCAGCCGGGCCTCAGCCAAGACAGGAGCCTGGGGCCGGCTGTCAGCTGGGCTGCAGCCTCAGGACAGTACCTGAGGGGCTGGCCCCTTTTGTCCTTCTGAGACTCATGCCCCCCAGGGTGGGTGCCTGTTGGGGAGATTAGAGACCTGTGTCTTTGAGCGCAGTATTTGGACAATCAGGGCCTCCCCACTGGAGGCCATCTCTGCCCAAGAGACTGAGCTGACGCCAGAGGCCCAGGGATGCCTACTTAGCTCTTGGTATTTATTTTCTTCCACTTCCCATCCCCTCCTTCCAGATAACTTATACATTCCCAGGAAAGCTCAGCTCAGATCGGGAATGTTTAAGGAAGGGTGGGCAGTTTCCCTTTTCTTTTGGTGATGCCATCGGCAGTACCACCCAGACTTGAGCAGAGGGGTCCAGGGAGAACCAGCTGCGACAGTTGCCCCAGCGGTGCCAGGCTGGGCTCTGGCGGTGTGGCCCATGGGACGGCAGACCGCCAGGTGGGAAGGCCAGGCCTGGGGCTTGTCTCATCAGTTTTAGATTTTTTTTTTTTAAGTAACAAAACAAAACAAAAAAACAAAACAACAAAAAAAAACAACTTTTTTTTTTTTTAAAGCTTTGAAAATTGATGGTTTGGGTATTAAAAAGAAAAAAACTAAAAAAAAAAAAAAGAAACTAAAAAAAAAAAAAAAAAAAAGACGGCAAAGGCCAGTGAGTTGAGTTGAGGTCTCAGGGCAGGACGGCAGCTTTCCTTGAGCAGAGCAGCAAGACACTGAACTGTATTTCCTTACCCCCGGGGTGCAGGTTGCAGGATGTCTTCCGAGTCTGGTGTGACCTTGGTCCAGGAGTTCTGTTTGTTCCTCTCCTCTCCTCTCCGAGGGTGGATTTTTTATTATTATTATTATTTGTTTTGTTTTTGGTGTCTTGTTTTCTTTTTCCTCCATGTGTCTTGGCAGGCACTCATTTCTGTGGCTGTTGGCCAAAGGGAATGTTCGGGAGCTGCCAAGAAAGGAGGAGACTCGGGTTGGCTAATCCCCGGATGAACGGTGCTCCATCCTCCCCATTCCTCGTCACAGTGTTAAGGAGCCAGGAGGAGCTACCTCGCCCGGCCTCTGCTTTCCCATCTCATGTGTCATGAGTTTGCCCAGTGCCACCACTAGCCTCAGCTGCTGACATCAGCCCTGTTACCACATGGTCCTTCAGAAGAGACACTTGGAGGCGGGGTCTTGGGTGGGGAGGTTGCCGCTGGGAGGGCAGACTCCCCAGATTTTGGTTCCAGTTTCTGTCCCAGGCGCCTGGCACACACATAGCCTTCTTGGCACCTGGTGGCTAGAAGCCACCTCACTTTAGATCACTCACCAGGGGTCCCCCGCGTTAGAAGGGTCCCTACCTTAGATCAATCACTTGGACACTAAGGCACGTTTTAGCGTCTCTTGTCTTAAAGATTATGTCCATTTGTCTGTCCATTTGTGTTTTCTGCGTCATGTCCGCGGATGTAATCCTCAGATAATGCACACTAGCCTTTGATGACCATGAAGCAATCCGTTACATGAGGGTCTGAACTTGTAGACTCTGTTCAAATATCAAATAAATCTATAACAGAAAGTAGCTTTTGGAGGTCTCGGTGTCGTGGGGGGAGCCTTCCCTCAGCTCCCTGAGTCCTGCTGGGCCCTGTGGATTAGTTTGTTGAATGGCCACTGATGGGCACCTAGAAGGTGGTTAACTGCCCCTCTCCCTGCCCTGGGAGATCGCAAGCTCCTGATGACAGACAGTGACTGGGCATGGGCTGGAGAGAGCACCTGTTACATGCCAGCTGTGGCCTGGGCAGGGAATCCCACAGCTAGCCATCACCGGTGGTTTGGGCCTTCATGAGGTTTGATGGGTGGGGCAGCTGGGGTGGGGGTGGGAGGACACAGGAATGGGAGCCAGTAGCCTTCCCTGCATGAAGCTGGGCTGACCCCTTCCCTCCCATGGCCTCTATATCCCCATCTATGCAATGGGCGTTTCTACTCTGTGTTCTCATAGGTCCCTTATAATTTCCAACAGCCATTCCCCCCACCCCTCTCCCCGCTCCACAGAGGTAAGGCTGAGAGTTGCTGTGGGGGAGCCGGCTCCTAGGCCCTCGGGGAACCTGCTGCAGGTGCTGGGGTAAAGGGCAGAGGCTCAAGGAGATACACTGAGCGGCCTTGAAATTGGCCTTGAAACCATAGCTCTGCCATTTATCTGTTCTGGACAGTTTCCTTGTCTGTAAAATCAGGCTAGTATTGGCAATCTTGCAGGATTGCTCTGAGGCTTGCTTGATGATTATGTGGTAGGTGGAATTTTGAACAGAGGGCCTGACCTGGCTTTTAGTGCCCAGTAACTGATACCTTCCTCCTGGACCACTGAGGTTTGCACTGGGCTGATGTGGGGATCCAGGGGCAGGGGGCTTTTGGTGAAAAAGAGAGGTCATTGTCTCTGACCTCAGCCTTACAGATTAGGCCTGAGCTGCTACTTGGGCACCTCCCCTGGGACAGGCCTGAGTCTGTCCTTCCTCCCTCCATGGGACTGTGACCCTTCCAGGTGACCTCTGGGCTGTGATACCCTCTGAGACCCTTCTGTGTCTCCACAATGGAGATCCTCCCCTACTGTCTGTACTTCCCTAACAACTCCCACTCCCCCTACACAGGCTTGGGGCTGCCCATTGTCACCAGGAACCAGGAGTGTTGGATCTGGAGCTGGCTAGCTTTGAGGGAAAAATCCCACAATGCAAACCCAATTCTCAAAACCTGAACAGAATGAATGAACAAATCTTAGAGGCTCAGCCCTTCCTCCCTCCATCCAGACCCCCAAGGTTGTCCACTCCAAACCTCAGTGGTATAGTCTTTCCTCTGATTACAACAGCAGTTTGGAAAACTGGGGGAAGTTCAAAAATAAAATAAAAATAACCTCACATTCCACCCAGAACAGCCCCAGCTAACTTTTGGTGAACAGCTGGTAGGCACTTAGTAAATGCTGGGCCCTGTGCCAAGCTCAACCATTCCTCTTTCTCTTTACAAGAGGTATTTATGTTATCCCCAAATTACAGATGGGGTAAGGAAGGCCCAGGCCTGGACTCAAACGCAGTCTGTCCCACTAAGCCTCCAATACAAGCCTTTGGTGGGAGTTCCCCAGAGAGCTGCTAGCCCAGCATGATGGGACCCTCACTGTGTCCCTGGCATACGGTAGGCGGTGTTCCTATACTTGTTGGGCAACCGCATCAGACAAGGCCAGGACAGCTGGGAATGCACCTGGCCTTAAGTGGGCTGAGTCTCACTGTATTTCCTGCATTGCTCTGCCTGCCCTCCTTACCCAGCCCAACTCCTCAGAACCTCTTCTCTGTTCTCAGGAGCTTAGTTCCCTCTCCCTGGCCCTCAGGAATTCAGCATTGAGCAGCTACTCCTAGTGCGGTGGCCCAGAAAACACAACTTGACTTGGGTCCAAGGCTCCTGAAGGCTGAGCTCATGTCCCTGTGCTTACTCCCAAGACATTCTGTCCCTTTGCCATTCAGAAAAATGTCATTTCAGGGAAGGTCAGTGGCCAGTCTTCAGGAGCTGCAGCCAGAATGGCCCTGTCAACTGCTGAACAGGACTAGTGAGTCTATTGTGCCAGCTGAATTTGAGAAACCAAACACCTTGGGCCCGGAGGATGGGGAACAGGAACCAGCATTCCTCCATCCCTTATTCTGGAGACCCAGGCCCCCATCTATAGTCTCGTCCTCTCCTCTTCTCTTCTTTCTTTCTTTCTTTCTTTCTTTCTTTCTTTCTTTCTTTCTTTCTTTCTTTCATTTATTTATGTAAGTAAGTAAGTAAGTAAGTAAGTAAATAATGTCTGTACCCAATGTGGGGTTTGAACTCAGGATCCAGAGATCAAGAGTCCAGAGATCAAAAGGCTCTTCCAACTGAGCCAACCAGGTGCCCCTAGTCCCTTTCCCTTTCAAAGATTTCGCTTTATCTGCTATCTTTCCTCTGAGCTGTAGGCTGACCCCTCCACTGTCCCTAAACCTCCCAAGACAGTTTCAGAGAATCAGAGCCCTTGACAATTTTCTGAGGACCTTTTGCGTCTTTGGAATGCAAAGCTACTTGGCCCAATGTGACCAATCTGTTGTGTAAGTCCCTCAGACCCACCCCGATCCCCCCATCCCCACCCCATGTTGATGCTGGTGGCCTAGAGACTTTCTAATCCACGCATGATGTCCAGAGAGGGGCTGATATCTGTGCTCCCTTCAGCAGTACATATACTAAAAAACTGAGAGGGGCTGCCATTCATCAGAGGTCACAGTGAGTCGTGGTACCTGAACTGGGACTCAGGGGTCCTCCAGCCTACCCAGCTTCTTTGCCCTGACACTCCTGGACTGCAACTTCTAGACACCTGGTAAGCAGCCAGAGGGGTTTGGTTTGTGCAAAGAAACTGGGAGGTAGCGTTAAAAACCATGAAGGAGACTGGAAAAGGTGGAAAGGGCTAATCCTGGACTAACTGGGGGGATGGACGCAGGTTATTGAGCTAGGTCAAAGGCAAGAACTTCATCCAGGCACAGAAATGATGGGGGGGAGAGGGTGGTTTCCAGGCTGATCTGTGTGTGCTTGGGGGAGGAGGGCGAGGGCTGGGGGTAGGGATTGGGTTTCCTTTGGGTAGGCAAGGGTTAAGTCCTTCTGGATCTCCCAGGCTCCAACTACTCTGCCTCCCTGTACTTTTTCCTCTCCAGCCTCTGGCCCTGCAGCAACCGGAACCATCTGTGCGCCTGCCTCATCCTCATGGCCTGCCTGAGCCCCTCGCAGCTCCAGAAGGTAGGGCATCTGCTAGGTGGGGGTCCGAGAGGGTCACATAAGAGCTGGGGGTCCCTCCAGACCTCTAGTAGACCCTGGGAATTCAACCCCACCCCCTGCATTTTTCAGAAGAGGAAACAGAAGCTCAGAGCTGCCAGTTTCCAACCACAACGCCTAACTTCTGCACTCACAGCTGGGGGCGTCAGGACCACGGGTCCGGGATGAGGTGGGAATGTGTACGTGTGATGGAAACCAGAATAAAGAGTAAAGATCAGCCAGCCAGTCCAGCCCCAGGACTGGGTCCTAGGAGCAGAGGGGGAGGAGGAGGAGGGACAGCGGGGGAGGGGGAGGGCGGAGCCAGGACCCGTGATGGGGCGGGGTCAACGGAGGGCAGACGGCCGCACCCCCGTCCCCGCCCCGGCCGGGAGCTGGGAGAGGGCGGCTGGGTCCCACCTGCTGTCCTTACACGGAAAGCTAATTCTTAGGAATTAGAGTGACACAGACTTAAAAAACAAAAACAAAAACACAAAACAAAACAAAACAAAAAAACAACAACACGTGATCCTTGTTTGTTGCTGATAAGGGAAAAATGCTGAAAAATACAGAAAATCTCAAAGAAGAAAATGAAAAACCACCCATAATTTCCTACCCTGAGACTTAGTATTTTGGTAGTAGACAGCCCTAGAATCTTTAAAAGGCGAACATAATAGCTACCTCTTGTGAGTGCTTGCCCACCGTTTTATAAAGGAGACGCTAAAGTGCCCCCGACTTGATGGTCTGAGGGCCAAGGCAGTCGCCCAAGGTCTTGCAATGGCTAAAATACTAAATCTGTGTTCAGCTTTTTTTTTTTTTTTCCCCATCTCACAGAATATCGGGCACATATGCCATGTCAGTAAATATTTTCCTACCACATGATTTTTATCAGCTGTGTTGGGTTCCAGATAGATAAAACATACTTTGTTGAATGACCATCCTTGTGCTGAGCATTTAGGTTGTTTCTGATGTATTGTTCTCATTCAACCAGCATCAGTGAATACCCTTAATTAATACATCTTTGCTCCTCTATTTGTTAAGCCCCCAATGTATGTCAACAAGTTCTCGTCTGAGTGTGTTTGCTGGGTCACGCAGTTTGCTGTGGGTGACCCAGTTCCCAAGGAGGAAATGTTCAGTTTGATACTGATGGGAGGATTGAGTACCTATCACAGAGCTTTCCAGAGATGAAAGGGCCCACAGTGGGTGGGCATGAATGTCCCAACATCCCACAATGTGGAAGGCAGGCATCTATGAGGGAGTGAAGGAGGGAAGGGGAGGTTAGTAATTGGGAATCAGATACTTCACAGTGGGTTCAAGAGGTGACTTCCAATGCTAAGATTTTATAATGGTCTGCAAGCAAACATGTAGATGTTCTTTCTCTCCTTATGTCTCTCAATAGCCACAGAATAAGAGGTCTGGAGGCAAATTAGAATTTAAACTAGCTGTTTTAACTCCCCTCCCCCCTGACTGTCCACACATTTAGCACAAAGCCCACCTCCTTGCCTGGGTTGGCTCCCACCACCCTCCTGCCTCCCTTCAGACCCCACCCTTACTTCCCTCCACCTGGCCTCAATTCCTTGTGTCCCTCCTGTGCTCAGGGGCTTCACACATCCTGCACTCTGGGACTTAAATATTCATCCTTGTCTCTTCAAACCCCCTTATCCTGCTGGTCCCCTTTATTTATTTTTTTTTCTGCTGGTCCCCTTTAAATGCCACCTCCTCAGAGCTGCTGCCCTGAGACTCCTCTGTCCCCCACCCCAATCCTTTTACATTGGACACTTCTGCCTTTAGCTCTTGAATCTGCCTTCTCCCTCCTTGCACGCAGCAGTTTGTGATAGCACACACCCCACCACTCTACCCCGCATGCTGTTTTGTTTGATGTCAGCCTCCTTTGCTAGACTTTAAGCTCCAGGATGGCAGGTATCATGGCTGGCTTGCTCATTACTGTAGCTCCAGCTCCTAAAACCATGCCTGGTACACAGTAGATGCTCAATAAATTTCAGTTGAATAAATGAATGGGGTAATATTCCCATGTGACCCAAGCCCCACTGGAGGGGAAGGATGAGGACACCTCCCCTTCCTTCTTCCTTCATTCAGGCAACCACTATTGGTTGCTCCTCACCATGGTTCCAGGCACCATTACCTGAGGGGATGGGTGGGAGGGGGAGACAGAGCAATAAATAGGATTCTTGGTCCTGCCCTCACACAGCTTTGGGTTTGAGGGAGAGGTCATGTCAGTCCTCATAAGGAGCATTTGAGGGCAGAGGGAAGCCTGAGTTTGCTTCCTGCCTTCAGTTTCAGGAGGACGGATTTCTGGTGCTGGAAGGATTTTTATCTGCAGATGAGTGTGTAGCCATGCAACAGAGGATTGGCGAGCTAGTGGCTGACATGGACGTCCCTCTGCACTGCCGCATAGAATTTTCCACCCAGGAAGAAGAGCAGCTGAGAAGCCAAGTAGGTGTCCGGGGCAGGTGAGAATGGGATCTGGTCTTTCATGGGGTCTCAGTCCCCAGGCAGAACTGCAGCCTGGATGGGAAGGCCCCAAGGCCCATGAGCGCTTGTTCTGGTAACAGATTGGGCCCTGGTCCCTCCCTGTGCCCAGCTAAGTGCCTTCTAGGTGTATGTCCTTCACTCCTCACTATGGACTTATAAGGTTGATCTTATTACCCCCATTTGACAGGTGGGGAAAACGAGGCTTGGCTTACTTGCCCCAAACCACATTATAGAGTGAGGATTTGAACCCAGATCGGCCTGATACGAAGTCCGTGCTGTTCAGTGCTCTGCTGTGTTTCCTCAGTAGTTGGGCCAGAAACCCCAGAAAGAGCCAAGTGATTCCAAGGGACCTGTTTTTGTGTCAGCCTCATACCCCAGTGAGACTAGAAACTCAGCTTCTCCATCCCCACCCCTTGTGACTTAATAGTACGCAATACTGTTTGAGATGGGTAAGTGGAAACTCGGGGTTCTCCCACACGTTCACTTAACCCTCCAGGAGCCTGGCTGTGGTGCTGCCCGCCAAGCCCAATCTGTGGTCCCAGACCATCAACGCGGCTCCTTCATGCTGAGGCTCTCCTGCCATCTGGTGGGCATAGAGGGAATTACAATGGCCCGATGGCTCACAACCCAGAGACCAGGCTGGGAGGGTGGACTAAGGATTACATCTCACCGACGCCTTCCAGCAGGCATAGGGGTCCAGTGTCTAGAGACAGGTCACTCACAGCCCCAAGGAATGAAGGGGCTGATCTTGCGCCTCCCAAGCTGCCTTCTGAGAATGTTCCAAAGACCAGCGAAGGGTTGAGGGGAGGATGGGAGAATGAAGTGTATGTATCCTAGTTTAGAATGCTTGCAAAGAGCTCAGTGCAGTGCTGGGTACTCCGTAAACCCTCATCATTCACCATTAGTATTAAGACTTTGAGATGAGCATTAAAAGGAAAAAGATCAGAGGCTCGGGGTAGCTCAGTGGGTTAAGCATCTGACCTCAGCTCAGGATCCTGATCTAGGGTCCTAGAATCCAGCCCTGTGTCAGGCTCCCTGCTCAGTGGGGAGCTAGCTTCTCCCTCTCCCTTGCCCCTCCCCCAGCCAATGCTCTCTCTCTGTGTCTCTCAAATAAACACAAAATCTTAAAAAAAAAAAGGGAAAATAAAAAAAGATCAGTGGATGTTCCATCCAGTTCTCCCTTCCAGCTTACTTTGAATTATTTTCCAACTTTACTTATTTTTATTTATGATAGACATAGAGAGAGAGAGAAAGAGGCAGAGACACAGGAGGAGGGAGAAGCAGGCTCCATGCCGGAAGCCCGATGTGGGATTCGATGCCGGGACTCTGGGACCACGCCCTGGACCAAAGGCAGGCGCCAAACTGCTGAGCCACCCAGGGATCCCCTCAAGCCCCACATTGAGTGTAGAGGTCACTAAAAATTTTTTTAATTTTTTTAAAAACCTGATAATACTGTCCACAGAAATGGGTATGAAGGGTCCAGGAGAATGAAGTAATCGCCTGGAGATCTATTCCTGTTCCATCTATCTGCAAATTCATTTCAGCATTTGTTACCGCCTATCTGTATGCAGTTCTTGGAATTCTTTGAACATCTTACTGGTTCCCTTGTGAATTAAGGAGTCAAGTAGAATCTTTGACATGTTTAGCTTCATTTTCTGTAATTATTATTATTTTCTTAAGTAGGCTCCACACCCAGCATGGAGTCAAACACAGGGCTTGAACTCACAACCTTGAGATCTAGACCTGTGCTGAAATCAAGAGTTGGACGCTTAACCAACTGAGCCACCCAGGTGCTCATTATCTTTAATATTGTTATTATTATTAATTATGCTTCCTTGACTTGTTTCTCTCACCCTGATCCTGATACAGAACAGCTATGAATGCTGCCAAAACAAATGTATATTTTTCAGTGGGAAAGGCTGTGAAAGGGCCAGGCAGGTCACCACAGAGCCCACAGGCACGTGTGAGAGCAGGTGTGCACACAGGAGGGGAGCCATGGGACTGTGCCACCTGGAAAACCCAGGGGTCGGTGCCCTCAGTTCCACTTGTGTGTCTACACAGGAAAGTAGAGAGATCTATCTACATAAAGGTGGCTGAGGGCAGCTAGAACCACAGGGAAAACATTGGGTATCTTCCTGAAGATGATGCATCTTCATATGATGCTAAGAAATGTAAAATATGGGGTTGCCTGGGTGGCACAGATGGTTAAGCATTCTACTATTGGTTTCTCCTCAGGTCGTGATCTCATGGGGCTCTGCGCTCAGCAGGGAGTCTGCTTGAGATTCTATCTCCCTTTCCTTCTGCTCCTCCTCCCCCAGGGCATGCTCATACTCTCTCTAAAATAAATAAATCTTTTAAAAAAAGAAATGAAAAACATGGTACTAAAATTAACAAGGGAAGGTTATTAAGAAAAAAGAAAAAGATGAGTAATAGTTTATATTCATCAAGCTTTTAGCCATGCCTTGGCTGAATATTTTCTGTTTAGCAACAGCAGTAGTGATGATGATAAAAACAGATATTCATGCAGCACTTTCCACATTCCAAGGACCGTTCTAGTGCCTTATGCACACCAATTTGTAATCTCTACAACATCCCATGAGATACCTTTGATAACATCTATATTTTATGAGGAAACTAAGCCCAGAGAGGTTCAGTAATGTGGTGGTGGTCACACAGCAACTCCATGGCAGAGCTGGGATTTGAACCCAAGTATTTTAGCTCTAGGGTCTGTGCTTTCAACTCTTGTAAGATTCAGCCTCTACCTGAAACCTCCAACAATCCAGAGGAGGTCAGTTCTATTATTATTTCCCTTTTACAGATGAGGAAACAGGTGTTGAGTGGTAAAACAGGTGACCCAAGGCTGCCCGGGAACCACGCCTGTTTGATTACCATCCTATGTTCAGAGTCACACTGTATCAAGCATAAGAGTTCTGTGACTTTATTAAGAGCTGTCCAAGAAATTTAATGCTTGTGGCTTCCGGCTGTGCTTCCACGAACTTGGGGTTCCTGTTCACTGTCTACCTCAGTAGACGAGTTTGAGAAGTAACAGTGGGGTCTGCAGCCCTGCGGGGTTGGGAAGCATGAATGTCCCCTTCCTTTTTTGTCAGGCCCAGCTCTGACCCCATGTTGCTCTATCAGCCCCGCTAACATTCCCTCTCTGCAGGGCAAGGAAGACTATTTCCTTAGCAGTGGCGACAAGATTCGATTCTTCTTTGAGAAAGGCGTTTTCGACGAGAAAGGTTGGGAGCCGGGAACCCCAGGGTTGTGGGAAGGGCCTGACTGGGGTATCTCCAGGTGCTGGGTTGGCACCAGGACCAGTTGCCCAGGGAAGAGTGGACTCCAGCTCTTTTGTCTTTACTTGTTTCTTGTGTTACAGGAAATTTCCTGGTCCCTCCAGAGAAATCCATCAATAAAATTGGCCACGGTAAGCAGGTACCTGGGGGAAGGATACAGGGAAACTGAGGCCAGAAAAGCCTTGAGGCCTAACCCAAGGCCCACAGTAAGTTAGTGGCCCAGTAAATGGCATTTCTGGCTGCAGCTCCCCCTCTGGGTCTGCTCTTCTGGCCTTATGGTGCTAATCATATGACGCTGGGAAGAGAAACCACTTGAGCCACCCACCCGTGCAGATGGACCTGTGCAGACCCTCCTCTGCCTGGCCTGAAGATGATCCAGGCCTTGGGCATGGGGGGCTCCTGGCTCCCACTGATTCCTGGAGCCTCCTTCAGAGGCACCTAACATGTTGACATGGTCTCTATTCTGAGACCCCAAAATGAAGCTAGGATATCCTCCTTGTTTTTTCTAGGATCATACATTGTAATTTATTTTGCAAACCACCTGTTTTTTTTAAAGATTTTATTTATGAGATGCCTGGGCGCCTCAGTGGTTGAGTAGCTCCTTGGCTCAGGTAGTGATCCCGGCATCCTAGGATAGATTCCTGCATCAGGCTCCCTAGAGAGAGCCTGCTTCTTCTTCTGCCTATGTCTCTGCCTCTCTCTGTGTGTCTCTCATGAATAAATAAAATCTTAAAATCAAAAGATTTTATTTATTTGGAGAGAGAAAGAGAGTGTGTGAGCAGGGGGAGGGGCACAGGGAGAGGAAGAGAGAGAATCTCAGGCAGACTCTCCACTGAGCACCAAGCTCAGTGCAGCAGGAGCTCCCTCCCACAACCCTGAAATCATGAACTGAACCGAAATCAAGTCGGATGCTCAAAACACTGAACCACCCAGGCACCCCCACTCATTTTTAAACTTGAAGTTATATTGTGGTAGCTTTGTACAAAGAATTGTGGTAAAAGGGATATAAAATTTGCCATCATAACCATTTTTAAGTGTACAAATCAGTATCAATAATTATATCTAACCCTTACTTTTAAAAGAAGGATTTTATTTATTTACTTGAGAGAGAGAGCGCGCGAGGGAGTGGAGGGAGGAGTAGTTGGAGAGGGATCCTCATGCGGGGCTTGATCCCAGGAGGGGCTTGATCCCAGGACCGGCTTGATCCCAGGACCCTGAGGTCAGGACCCAAGCCAAAGGCAGATGCTTAACCGATTGAGCCACCCAGGTAACTCTCAACCCTTACTTTTTATAATAACAACGATAATAGCAAATAACAAGACAATCAGGTATTTTTTTAAGATTTATTTATTTATTCAGAGAGAGAGAGAGAGAGAGAGAGGCAGAAACACAGGCAGAGGGAGAAACAGGCTCCATGCAGGAAGCCTGATGTGGGACTCAATCCCGGGTCCCCAGGATCACACCCCGGGCTGCAGGCGGCGCTAAACCGCTGCGCCACCGGGGCTGCCCACGATCAGGTATTTGATGCCAGGCTGTGACCTGAGGGTGTGTAGGCATTACCCTGAGTGTTGTGGCAGCCTAAGAGGCAGGGTTGGCTTTCTGGTTCTGCAGTACGGAGGAGAAACAGGCTTATAGGAGAGAAATAGTCACTTGGAGCAGCTCAGAGAAAGAGGCAGGTCCGAGATTGCTACTATGTTTTTTTTTTTTTAAGATTTTTATTTATTTATTCGTGAGAGACACACACAGAGAGAGGCAGAGACACAGGCCGAGGGAGAGGCAGGCTCCATGCAGGGAGCCTGATGTGGGACTCGATCCCGGGACCCCAGGATCACACCCTGAGTTGAAGGCAGACACTCAACTGCTGAGCCAACCAGGCATCCCAGATTGCTACTATGTTACAGGTCCCTTTAAGTCAGGTCTGGAGTGACGTTTCCAGATGGCTGGAAGGTGTAGAATTATGTCTTAGTTGGAGTAGGGTGCAGGCACTGTGGGCCCATCCCTTGGTTAGAAACCAGCAGAGAGCTCAACACATACAAATAGGTGAGAAGCCCCGGTGAGGCCTGACGAGGCCTGTGTCGGGGTGCCCAGGACCAAGCACAGAGGGACCTATGGGGGTGGGGGGCTGGCCCACTAGTCTGCCTCTGTTCTGCAGCTCTGCATGCCCACGACCCTGTCTTCAGACATGTCACACACTCTCCCAAGGTGCAGGTAAGCAGGGGTGTGGGTGAGGGTGGGGAGTGGCCCAGGTGTGAATGTGAGCAGGCTGGAAGTCTGACTTCTGCCCCCTTCCAGGCCTTGGCCAAAAGTCTGGGCCTCCAGATGCCCGTGGTGGTGCAGAGCATGTACATCTTCAAGGTGAGCTCCCTGTCCTCCCCAGACCTCAGTTTACCCTCTGAATATGGGCAGGGTACTCATACCAAACCCCTCCTTTTGATGGGCCAAAAGCTGCTTCCCCAAGGAATTACTAAGTTTCAAGGAGAACATGCAAAATCTGTCTCTTCTGGGTAAGGTGCCTGGCATTTAGTTGGTGCTTAGTTAAAATTTGGTGGCAGGAGGGAAGGAGACCCCCCCGAACCCCTTGCTCCTTTCTTTTGCCATTAAGATGCTCTGCTCCCAGCTTCAAGGCCCGATTTGGTGCCACCTCCTCCAAGAAACCTTCTAGTTTTTCCCTGGGGAAGGGAGGAACCTGTTTCTGATCCTGGGGCTGAAAGGCTTAATCTCAGACCTGGGCCCCAGCTGCTCTTGCTGCTCCTCAATTCTGCCTTTGCCCTCGGTAGGCATGCTGTGTGCTCAGACTTGGAGTACTCCATGGGCAGAGTGCTTTTTTTCTTTTTGCAGTCCTCCTAGGCCTGGCACATGGGGAGTACTCCATAGCTGGGTGCTGGTGTGGAATCCTTGGAGGTAGACACCTGTGGCCAAGTTAGGGCATCCCATAAGACTCAGAGCAGCCCCTGCCCCTCCCCACTGGCCTCTGGCCTCATCTGGCCCTTCTTCTCTCTTGCAGCAACCTCACTTTGGTGGTGAAGGTGAGCTGAGAACAGGCCATGGGGTCCAGCAAAGGCCACGGTGGGAGATATGGGATATTTGTGGTTGTCAGGTCTTTGGAGGGAGGGATGGCGCTTGCTGAGATGTCTATGGGCAAGAGCCTGGGCCAGGAGGGAGAAGCTCCCTTCTGCTCCTTTTTGGAACTATCGATTGGGAGGGTGTTCTGGCGCCTTTGGCAGCGGTTCTTGAACCTGGCAGTGACTTCTCGCTAGTTAAAAATATCAGTTCTAGGGCCCTCAGTCCCCAGTCCCTGAGATCTTGAGTCAGTAGGGCTGCAAGGACCTGTGAACCTGTATTTTTAACAAGTTCCCTGGAGGACTGATTTGACAGAGGAATTGCGGATCTAACTTCAAACCTCCCTGTATGCACAAATACTCTGTTTAGCCTCCCTCTACTTCTGCTTAAATACCTCCAGTGACAGGGGGCTCATCCCCTCACAGTCAGCCCTTTCCTTCCTTGCATGAGCCCAAGTTGCCCTCCTTGTGACCACACACTCCTTCCTCCCATCCAGCCCGAGGACGGTCTCTTGAGGTGATGAGCAGCCTCTCCCCGCATTCAGTACCCCCATCTCCTGCAGTCAGTCCTGCTCCAAATGCTTTGGATTGCCCACCACCAGGACACCTCCCTCTGGACATTGAACGGATTGTTCAAGTCCCTCTTAGGGCTTGGAAAACACATGGTTCCCTGGGAAGGAGATGGAACAAGTATCTACTGTCTAAAGTCCTTTGTTCAGGGGTTCTCCATCCTGGTGGGGTCCCAGCATCACATGGAGGGTGTTAAAATGTGGATGGGGGCTAGTTGCACCCCGTCTTCGCCTTTTGTACTCAGCCTCACACCGCCCAGTGGATCATCTGGTGGCTGGAGGTCCTTGTTCTGGTTAAGGATGGTGGCTTTAGTTGCCTGGCTGAAATCAAACCCTAGCAGCTCCTTTTTAGCAATTATGGTGTTGGGCCCTGTACTAAGCACTTTCCACACCCTGTGGCATGGGGTCCTCCAGCAACGCCATGAGGTAGGTTCCTGCTGAGGTCACTTCATGGTTTAGACAAAGGAGGTTTTGAGAGGTGAAATCTCATGCCCTGAGTCTCCAGGCCAGGAGGTGGTGGGATTCCAACTGACCCTTGGAAGGCTGTGAGAGCACCAGTGGGGAATAAGGACAAGGTGAAGCAAGCCAGGTTCCTTATGTCCAGGGTGGGGGCTGCTGCAGTTTCCCCTCACCAGGACTCCACCTTCCTGTACACGGAGCCCCTGGGCCGGGTGCTGGGCATGTGGATTGCATTGGAGGATGCCACTCTGGAGAATGGCTGCCTCTGGTTCATCCCAGGCTCCCATACCGGTAAGGACACCTGTTCTCCCTGCCCACCCATATCCAGTTCCTGTGGCAGAGAGACCCGGAAAATAAGAGAGGCTAAAGGCTCCCCCCTTGGCCACAGGTGGGGTGTCAAGAAGGATGGTCCGGGCCTTTGCTGGCTTGAAGCTCAACACCAGATTCCTTGGGTCAGAGCCTGTCTGGGATGACAGCCTATTTGTACCCACACCAGTGCAGAGAGGTAGGTGGGATGCAGAGCGCAGGGAGGCAGGCTCTGAGGCTGTGTGTGTGGGTCTGTGCTTGCTCTGACCGCCCAGCTCCCCTGAGGGCTGTGAAGTTATGGGATGGGAGGTGGGGGTGGATGGGCATAGGGAAGCCTGAAAACCACACGATTTTCCCTAAGGCATCCTGGATCAGGCTAGAGTCCAGACTCCACCGTCCTTTTGGGCAAATGACTGAATCTCTCTGAGCCTCAGTTTCCCCAAATGTAAAGCAGGGAAGTCAGTGAGATAGATGATGTGCTTAAGATGTGGCACATGGCAGATGCTAAACAGATGCTGGCCATTCCTTTTAGAACAGGGCAACCTGACATCCAGCCTGGCTTTTTTTTTTTTTAAGATTTTATATATATATTTTTTGACAGAGAGAAAGATGGCACGTACAGGGATTTGGGGGGCAGGGACACAGGGAGAAGGAGAAGCAAACTCACTGAGCAGGGAGCCCACCATGGGGCTTGATCCCAGGACCCTGAGATCATGACCGAAGCCGAAGGCAGACACTTCACCATGGAGCCACCCAGGCACTCCACAGCCCAGCTTTTGATGGCAAGGTCCCAGCTGACTGGCATAGTACAGACACTCTGGCCTAGTTCCGCAAACATCATAGAAGGGGATGCTCTTGCCAAGGCTTGCCAAAGGCATAGGTCACAGCAGAAGGGAATTGGTCCCAGGGGAACCTCTGAGCAGTAGCATGGCCTCTGACCCTGAGCTTTCAGGGATGGGAATGGGGAGGAACAGGCCACAGAATCATTTGAGGGAGGAGGGGCCTTTATCTCTCTCTGCCAAATGTTCTCCTGACCTGCTGCATTCCTGCCAGGGGCCCTTATCCTAATCCACGGAGAAGTAGTGCACAAGAGTGAGCAGAACCTTTCTGACCGCTCACGCCATGCCTATACTTTCCACCTCATGGAGTCCTTGGGCACCATGTGGAGCCCGGAGAACTGGTAGGTGGCAGGGTGTGTGTGTGCACGTGCCCTGGACAGGCTCCTGAAGAGGTCCTGGAGGCCCAGAGCAGTGATGCTGGTGCCTCAGGGTCATCTCTATCTCCACAGGCTCCAGCCAACAGCTGAGCTGCCCTTTCCCCCTCTGTACACCTGAACCGCCTCTCAGGGCTGGGGCCCGGCCCCTCCAGGGGAAGCTGTGGGTTGCAAGCACCAGCGCCTCGCCCGACCACCCAGCTGCAAAGGGGAAGCTAGATCTCTTCCCTTGTGCTTTCTCCCTGCCAGCATCTGTGCCCCTGAGCCCTGTAGACAGGCAGGTGAGGGGTGGCAGGTGGGCCCCAGGAGCCTGGCTGGCTGGGTTTCTGGACACCTCTGTCTCTCCGCCTCTCCCCTGCCCCAATCCAACCTCCTGCTGGAGGCAGCCTCTCGCCATGATAGCACTGTGGCTATTTCTCTGCTAGCTACCCACTGTTCCCTCCTCTCAGATGCAATTCTAATTATTACAGTGCAGGACATGCAATAAAAGCGATTTCTGAATGCAGCCTCCTGACTCTTCTTTCCCAAATAGCCTTTCTTTCAAGAGAAGAGCCCTGCTGAAAGTTATCCCAGGCATCCCAGCCCTGCCTGGTGAGGTCTGCACAGTTTTAATGACAATAACATTTAGTGGGCGTTCACCATGCCCAGAGCTGTAAGTGTTTTGTATCACTGTGTCCTGACACCTTCCAGGTAGGTGCTCTTACCATCTGTGTTTATAGATGGTGAAGCTACCACATGGTGTGGGAAGTTTCAGTGACCTGCTCCAGTCCCAAGGGCTATTTCAGTTGTTGAGTGACTCAGCCTGATCCAGCACATTGTTTTGTTTTTTTTTTAGATTTTATTATTTATTTAACAGAGAGAGAGAGAGGAGTAGCAGAGGGAACTGCACAGGGAGAGGGAGAAGCAGACTCCCCGCTGAGCAGAGAGAGGGATGTGGGGCTCCATCCCAGGACCCCAGGATCACGACTTGAGCTGAAGGCAGATGCTTAACTGACCAAGCCATCCAGGCGCCCCTGTGCTTGTCACCTTTGTGCTCCCAATACTCCTTGCTTGGGGAGAGAAGACCAGGCTTGGGGAATACAGTCCTAGATTCTGGGCCTGGCCTTGTGACCAATTTGTTTTCCAGTCCCAAGCCAGACTCTTCTCTCTGGGCCCGGTTTGCCACCTATACAATCAAGGGGCCAAATTAGGCCCCCACGGTCCCTCTCTTTGGGCATTTTTTTTTTTTAATTTTTATTTATTTGTGATAGTCACAGAGAGAGAAAGAGAGAGAGGCAGAGACACAGGCAGAGGGAGAAGCAGGCTCCATGCACCAGGAGCCCGATGTGGGATTCGATCCCGGGTCTCCAGGATCGCGCCCTGGGCCAAAGGCAGGCGCCAAACCGCTGCGCCACCCAGGGATCCCTCTTTGGGCATTTTTGACGGGCACCCAGACTTTCTGCAGGAGCAGCAAATCTGCAGATCCAAAACCTGCATAGCCAGGATTTGGCCTAAAGGTTGCAAATTGGGGCCATAGGCTGATTCTGCACTACAGATGTGTTTTGTCGGGGGCTAAGCATTTTTTTTAAACTGTTTAAAATTGGGAAGTTTCACATAACAATGCACATTTCTTCTTCTTCTTCTTTTTTTTAAAGATCTTATTTATTTATTCATGAGAGACACACAGAAAGAGAGACAGAGACAGAGGCAGAGGAAGAAGCAGGCTCCATACAGGGAGCCGGATGTGGGACTCGATCCCGGGACCGGGATCACGCCCTGAACCAAAGCCAGACACTCAACCGCTGAGCCACCCAGCCGTCCCAACAATGCACATTTCTAAACTTCTTTGAATGAGCAGGTCAGCTGCTCTGGGCCTATGGTGGAGCATGGTGATGCTTGGCTAGAACAACCTCCTGGAGGCTCCTATACTCCTCACTTTCCCTTCCTCTATGGCATTACCTGCCCAGCCTCAGCAGCCATATGAATTTGTGACCTTAATTTTCAGTCCCCACTATGTTTGTTGATAAACCAAGGCTGGGAGGATCCCTCCCAGGTGCTACCCAGGCAGCCAGTGAGGCAAAGCTCTTCCTTGGCATTTTGCCGCCTCTTTTTGCAAGTAGAAGGGAGCCTGGGAGAAGGGAAGGGTTTGTTAAGTCTTTTTTGAGCCCCAAAGGAATGTCCTGACACTTTCCTCTCAAGGACACGGCTCAACAGTGATCCCTGCTAGAGCTCTGCTCCTGGCTTCTGGCCCTGGTGGGCCAAAGTTCTTGTATCTTACAATTAGGCCCCTTCCTGTTGGGCTGGGTAAGGAGCGGAGAACCTTGTCCAGCCTTAGGCAACTCACTATGCTATCTTCCCACGGATGGGAAATGTTCACCCACTTGGCAAATGTCCCCTGGGTTCCTGCTACAATGCCAGGTTCTGCTGGCGCTGGAGGGTACGGTGGGGAAGTGGACAGCCCTGAAGTCTGCCCTCACACAGAGCAAGGATACAGCATAGGCCCCACAGTAGAGCCATTCTGAACTCTCAGTAAATCCCGCCAGCCCTCAGTCTCTAACTTCTTACCAAGAGAAGAAACACAGGTTTCGAGGTGACTGGTGTATGAGACGGTCTCAGGAGGGACCCCTTGTTAAGGACCCTGTGCCTGCCAGCATCATCATCATGTGTCCTTTATCAGTACCACTCAGCCAGGCAGCAGATGCCTTGAGGCAGGAGGGGAGTTGGCTCAAACAGGAAGTCAGCCCACCAGGCTTGATACTCTTCCTCCAGCCCTTCTGCGCATGCAACAGATGTCTCACCTCTTCCCTTCAGCTCAAAAGGGAGAGAGCACATGCACTTGGCTATTTTCCTCTTGGGCTCTCCTCCAAATGTTGCCAGGGGAGTAGAGTCACTCTGGTCTCCAAGCACAATCCATGAAACCTCTTGGCTGGCCTGGCTTTTTGCTGACATGAGGGCTAGCCTTGACTAATAATGACACTTTCCCTTACTATTTGTTCATTATACATGGGCTGTGGGCTGGACCTTTCACACACCTACCTCATCTCACTGGATCCTCACCTAGTAACTAACAGTAGATGGGATCTTACTATTCCCATCTTGTAGACAAGGGAATTGAGGCCCAGGGTGGTTAAGCAACTCACATAGTTAAATAGTGCAGTCAAGGACTCAGAGTCTCAACCAGGTTACTTTGACTCCAGAACCTGAAGTGGTGACCATTACACTCTCCTGACTCCAGGATCCCGCTCGGGTCCCCTCCAAGAATCGCAAGATGACGGGTGTGGGTATGTGTGTGTGTGTGTGTGTGTGTGTGTCCTATACCACACTCAGCCTCTTTGTATTGTTGTGCTGTCTTTAAGCCTTTTTGTCCCTTATAAAATATCAGCAAAACTAAAACCAGGAGTTCTTTGATTTTTATTTTGAATCTGAATCAAATGAAAAAATCAAATCTGCTTCTCACCCCTTGGCTCTTCATGCCCAAAATGGCTGGCTGCTGTGGGGACCATTCATCCTCCCCAGGTCCATTTCTTCCCATCACTGCTATGCAGCAGCTATGCCATCAGCAATATCAGGAGGTAGAGAGGCAACAGGAGATTGTCTATCTGTGTCGTGTATGCTTCTAGGAGGGACACGATGCTGATAGAGCCCAAAATCCAAACATAACTGTAGTTTAGGTCCACTCCACTATCAAAGATTAAGATCAGAGCTACAGAAATGATCTGGGCAAATATAGAGGTCATGGTCCCCTCAAAGGTCTTTTTGGTGCCAGGCCAGTGGATTTCCCCCATTGTGCTGCCAAAAATGGAGGCCACAGTGTCCCCCACACCCACAGACAGGACTCCTGCATAAGGGACTAGGGCTCTTGCTCCCCCCAAGTTGCCTTTCTGTGTGCAGGGCCTGGGGACCAGCCAGATGGGAAGAGACATGCCCAGGAGCAGGTAGATATGTGTCAGGATGAGTGGTCCACTGTCTCGTTCATCTAAGAAAAGGGACAGGAGGCTCCTCAGAGTGTGGCCCAGGGGCTTGATGCGGAAATAGCGCACATATTCTAGAAAGATAAAGACTGTTAGGCATATGGTGGCAGCTACATAGAGCAGTGTCCGGTCAAGGATGATACCCGGGATGTAGGTGGCCACCACAATGAAGTGGAAATACTTTCGGGCAATGGTGGGGGCCTGGTGCTTCTTAGACTCAGAAGATGACCGCTTGGCATTCTGGTAAAGCACCACCAGGCAGGCTAAGGTGGCCAGCAGAGACCAGTAGACCAGGAGGTAGATGCGGGTCTCTGTCTGGAAGAGGAATTGAAGAAGCCAGAGCAGGGGGTTCTTGCGGATAAGCCGGTGCAGCCAGGGAAGGACCACACCAAGGCCCAGCACACAGGTCATAAGGTGGAAGAAGATGGAGGAAGCCCAGGTACCTGAGTCCATGAAGACAAAGAGTGTGCTGAAGAAGACGCCCATAAGCACCATCCCTACCACTACCACCAGCAGGAAGAAATCCACTGGGTCGCCCTGGCTTTCCACCACAGTCAGAGAACGCTTGATGAGCTGGTTGAGCATGAAGCTGATGCCACCTAATACAAGCAATGCCTCCCCAGGGGTAAAGCAGCGGGGCAGCAGGTACAGCAGGATCATGTTGAGGTAGACGAAGATCAGCAGGACCTCCAGGACCTCGATCACCTCGCCCACACTCAGTGAGTGCTTCATGATATAAATGATGACACCTCCAGCCAAGCCTGAGATGACACAAGTGTTGGTGGGCACTGGGCGAGTGATGCCCAGTGCCAGTACCGACGAGAAGAGGGCCACTGCCATCCCAGTGGCTGCCACCACAATTCCAAAGCGCTCAAAATACGGGTTCCCCATGGACTGGCAGCGCTCCTTCATGACCAGTCCGAACAAAGGCATGACCATTGATGCGGGCAGCAGGCCACTGTTTGCGGACATGCGGAACTGGAAGACGGCGCTTCCCTGCTGCAGCAGCCGGTCCCACTTGTACTGGACGTAGAAGGCCTGCACTGCGAGAGCCACGGCGCACCACGAGTATCGGTCCCACACGGCTGCGTGGATGCTCAGCACCACTGCGAACACTACTGCTGCCTCCGCCAGCACTGACCCACTCAGCGGAGCCCCGGGGACCGGGGGAGCGTGCTCTCGGGTCATGTCTCTAGACCGGGCCCCGGAGAAACCGGAGTGACTAGCGACGCCTTGGCCTCTGGGTCCCTCAAGCCTTGTCAAGCCGAAAGCGGCAGCTTCACACAGCCAGCACCTCCTCCTTCCGTTCTCCAGCTGCGAGGAGGGAAGCTCCACTGCAGGCAAGCCTCTCTCTGCGGCTCGGGACCTGGCGCCCAGCTATCCTCCACGGCCTCGCACCTAGGACGTAGACGTTGCTACTCCGCCGCTTTCTTTACAACCCGTGCTGCTCCCACCGCGGGTTCCTCTCCTCTCTGGGCGTCGCCATCTTGGCCCCGCCCGCCGTCACGTGACAAGAAACACCGCCCACAGCCCGGCCGGAGGCGAACGGTCACGT